ATCGATGAATGTATTTGAATTTTGCAGTTCATTTAATGTTTTAATAACTAAAGGCATTTCTGGGCGAATACAGGGATCTTTATTCCAATATTTCTTGTATAATTCAACATATTGGATGGGTGTGTTTTCTACCGGAATTTCTCTAAATTCATCTACCATTTGTATCTTCCAAATAATTTCAGAGTGAGTCAATAGTTTGAATGGTGGTTGACCGCTCGAGATCTCCCAAAAAATAACTCCAAGACTGTAAATGTCAGCTTTTTTATCATATTTTAAGTCTTTTAAACATCGGGGATCTACATATGCCGGTATTCCTTTGATGTCTAAGCATGACGGTGTTGAAATTTCATTGGTCTGTCTCGACATATCAAAATCTATAATCTTAATTTGCTTGTTATGGACAAGAATGTTTTTGGAATGCTATCAAAAAAATAAAAATAAAAATAAAAAAAAAAGATAAATTGTTAATTTGGATAATTGAAATTATACATAGATAAAATAGACATATGCTTACTAAGTCGCCGTGAACTATATTTTTAGTATGTAAAAACCAGAGTCCTTGTGCGGTTTCCTTAGCCATGCGAAGTTTATCAATTAATTGTAGACTTTCAAAATTTTCCCGCAAATAATCACGTAAATCTTTATCAGCATATTGTAAAACTATAAATTCATGTTCTTTCGAAGGGTCTTTTTTTTGATAATTTATTAAACGTTAGAATTATTAATATTTTTAATGATTAGCTAGTGATAAAATTGAAGTGGTTCCTATATTCTTATTTTAGCTAACCAACGCTGCTTTTCAATTTTTTAAAATATGCGTGCGTGTAATGTGAAACACGTGCTTTCAACTCATTATGTAAAAATCTTAAGACAGTGCATTTTGGCCAGTGTGACAAGGTTCGAAATTCGAAAAGTAAAAGCAATAAGTTGTGCGTAAAATTTTAGGAACATAACCAATAACAACATACCTTTTGTAACTCCATAAAAGGCAATTATGTTAGGGTGGCCTTGAACATTTCGCAAAATTTCAACCTTAAATAATAGATCGCATGTTAATAAGATACAATTAGAGATGGTAAAAAAATTTTCACCTATTGATATTTATTCGGAATATAATAATCATCTGCTTTAAGCAGTTTAAACTACTTTCCTCAGATTCATATATTCAATAAATAAAAATGTCATTTACCTCACTGTTGAAATTTTGATTTTGTAAACAATCTTTTGGGCGTTTTAGGGCTATTGTGATTTTGCAATATTTACATTCGGATTTATAAATCACACCTGAGCCACCACTATTAATTTCTATAACTTTATTAAAATCAATACAATGATACAACTCATGGTTAGCGATTCTGGTCGAGAAAGTCTTCATGATTTTATTTAGATTGATAAATATTGATAAACAAAGTGTATTGAATTGAGGTGAATAAAAATGCAAGGATAATTTACTTGATCCATTTAAATGGTTTTTTTTGTTAGTAGGAAAAGAACGCTACATAACAGGTAGTTATTACCAAAAAAATCAAGGATCATCAATTTACTACACCCATGATTAGCTTGAAAAAAATTTCATGATTTCATTGAGATCAAAACAAAATATGTACTAAATTGGTGAATAAAAAGGCAAGGATAATTTATTCTATCCATTTAAATAGATATTTTGATGATAAGAACTTAGTAGAAGTTACCGAGGAATTCTGTCGAAAGGTTTTCAAATAATGATTATAACCAAATTCAATCGAATCGATCAAGAGTACAAGACATAAACCGTAGCACAAATAAAGTACCATTTTTGTAGTGGTCAAAATTATCGGTATCAGGTTAGTGGAAATAAAAGCCAATTGCTGTAGTCAAAATTATCGGGTTAGAGATTGCATCACACAGTAAGGTGCTTTACAAATGAAGTACTTATGCATTTTTTACATATACCACTTGAAATTACATGATTAACAAATAGAATAAGGTCACATTATATTCGAGATTTAATTTTATTCAAAAAAATTAAGTTTTTCGATAGTCAATTACTTCGATCAGAATCAAGAAATAAAGAATTTTGCAGCTCAAATTCTAGTTTGACAATACATCAAGCATTTTTAAATGTACAGTACTTTATTAAACAGATGACGAATCCAAGTCTATCCATAGTGAGAACTTTTTATGAAAATACTAAAATACAAGCCAAAAAAACTTGTGAAAATAGACGAGAGAAATGCAAAATATTACTATTCGGTTAATTACTAAATAGCCATCAATATTTTAAGTTTCATTTACAAGTACACATATTTTTTCAACAAAATAAATTTATGAATTTATTATTATATTATACAGTATGTAAATTTATATAAATAACA